GTATCAACCTTGTATAGAGTGAGGATAGAAAATTGACAGATAAAATAAAAAGTTTTACTGAAAACAAACATTTAAAATGTATTTAGCAGGTTGTAGAGATTAGACAAATGAAATCATATTCTTGAGATGAAGAAAAGTATTTTTAATTATAAAAATCACTTTGTACATGGACTATTCAAAACAAATACTTGATATATTCATGAAAAAACTTTTTTTTAGGTTATTTAAAACACTTCACTAAAAAAAATTATTATTTTTTGTATATGAAAGACTTACAATGTTTACTAAAAGACTACCAAATTTCGTGAAAATATACACACTATATTGAAAGTTAGTAGTATCAGATCTATAAAAACAAGTACAAAGAAGTCATGTGGTTGGTCAAATTGACCAAGTCCATGTTGGGAGAATTAATAAATAGGATTAGTTTAATTACTGATGGAAGAAGAACAAAAAAATATATAAGTGTAAATTACCCTTTTTTTCTTTCTAGAATGACTTCAAATTATAACATGAAACTACATTCATTTATCCTAAGTAGCTTTAAGCTTGTAACAGTATACATCTATTTATAACTAAATGTTATTGTTTTATTGCTCTTTTGATTGCCCTTTGAATCATGTTTAACTACTATTCACACCATTTGGAAAAGGTTCTTGAAATTGGCAATTATTTGTTCAAAACACAACGTTATACAATATGTCATTTGATAGATGAAAACCTTGACTTTCTTTTGGTTATAGATAATGTATAATTAAATGTAAAAGAGAACTATTAACAAATCCTGAAAAAGAGGATGTGACAAGTGGGTGTGGCAGAATGGTTCTGACTTTCTATTTGATAGCTCTGTAACCAAACAAAATTGAAGGCTATAAAAATTATGGTTTGTCTTAGTAATGACGATTTTATAGTGAGTAATTTACATTTAATTTTATAGTTACTGGAGGGGTGGTGGATGAAATAAAGAATTGAAGATGCCTACAGAAAATGTGTCTCACTAGAGGAAATTCAGGATTTTTAAAATATTGCCTTATAAAATTAAGAACTTAAAAGTTGTATACTATTAAAATATGGATTATTAGCTAAGATTTTATGCTATACTAATTGGTATAATGTAAACAAAAAGTAGTTTAATAAAATTTTTAATGTAATGCACTAAAACTTTGTGTTGTGAGCAGTAAAGGATACCTGTGATGATAAGGTTAATTTGGATTATTAATTTTGATTTATGATAGCTAAAATTTATTATTTACTAACCTCGTTTAATTGTTAAACTAACTTAATTTTGTCGTCCATTTATACAATTTGTCTACATCCTAATTAGATGGTTCACAATCATTCAGTTTGACCGCTTCATTAGCCTCTAAACATGACAACTTTTTATTACTTGGTTCTGTTCTCTTATTATTTTTGAATTTGCATCAACCATTTAATTTGAACAATTTAATAAAAGCTAACTTATTATGTGCTTTGTAAAACAGTATGCCTACTAATACTACTGTTACAAGCACTGAATTTGATAATTTCCATAAATCTAACTTAGTCCTTTTTGATGTAGTTCGCAAGCGATTTACATGCTGCTGAAATTCTTTGATTTAATCCTGATCTTTTAGGGGGCAAATGCTGAGTTCCTTCTAATATATTCATCAGCACTTTAATCACTGAACCTACATTTATGTTCTTAAATAATTGTGATTCTTCCTTTGTTAATAGGTTTTGTAGGTCTGGTACTTTTGTATTTACCAGGGCTTGTATTTACTTAGTTTTACTTCTAAAGCTTGAAGGTAAGATTATTCTCTGTTCTTGTGCAGAACAATTTCTAGCTAATTTCAGGTATCTGCTATTTCTTAACTAAACCACTTTAGTTTGATAATCAAATTGAAACAATCATATTCCTGGTGTTTTTGTCTTATAGAAATAAAAAGGTTTAGGGATAATTATTCTCTCTTCACAAAGGTCTTCTATTCTATGGCTAATCCTTGAAAATATGACATAGTTACAAGTTACTATGGGTACTGAATACATTCCTGAATTAGGTGTCGCATACTCAAATGGGTCCCTCTATGCATCTTAACATATCCTCTTCTGTCATTTCTAAAACCTCGCTCATAATCTGATTTTAGGGTATCCTGAATCATCAGTTCATTTGGGTGTCGATAAGCTCTACGTAATCTATTACCTAACTCTTGTAGCTTATGTCCAAACATTCTGACTGATTCACCTCATTGCTGGGTGAAGCTACGTATCTGTGCCAGAATTGTATTTGGTGTTTCTCGCTTTCTGTATTTTTCTACTACCCTTTGTGCTAGATACTGAAAATCTGCAGTTTCGAGCAGTTCATTATAAGCCTAATATAATGCTTTGCTTCTCCTGCTGTTCTCAGTCTCAAAATATCTGTTTTTTTTAGCATCGGTTCAACCTCAAATTTGAGCAGCTTCATTTAAAGCATCTATAAAACTCTCCACATCTTCAATGAGTTTACCGTAACACAACCGTATAGCACCCGTTAAGTGTGTCCTACTTGTGCAGGTTGATCTGCCACAGCTTCATAATTTGCATCAGCCCTTCTATCAACTCTCAGGTGTGCACCCTCATCTGTAGTAGTATCAGTGCTAGCAGTAGTCATATCCACTTACTTACTTACTTCTACTTAGACTACTTATAGTACTTAAATTGACTTACTTACTTCTACTCTTTTCTTAACTCTAACCAACCTGTCATTAGTTACTCCCCAAATCCTGGAAGATTGCACTAACTTGTAACGGGAGGCTGTAGAAGCTAGTCATTTGAAGTTTAACGTTAAATCCAGTCACGAGTAGAATACACAAGTCACTAACTCGAGGAAGGTTACAGTGAGGCTAAAGAATTGACTCAAAGGCTGAGCTGCAAACACAAATATCACTTTAATTCAATGTGTGAAGATATTCAGCTACACCGAGATTACCGAAAGTATCTTTAAAAACTTCACTGTTAAAATTGCTAAATTCTTCAGTCTGAGTAGGCAAATGTTTTTCAATTAAACTCTCAATAATACTCATTAAATACTTGACTACAACAAATAGGTTATTAGTCACGACATCAGTGGATATGTGCTCAGACATATTTTACCTTACTTTCCTTAATATCAAACAGTTTACATCTAACTACTGTCTATGTTATTTGATTAAGAGAACTAGCATTACTTACATTGAGGTTAGAAGGTGGTTATTCTAGATCTGTTGCTAGGATGGAGGTCTATTATTTCTGGAATGTCTATTTTCACAGGCTTAGAAGTCTTTTTTTCAGCACCGAGGAAATTGACTTTGAGTCCTTATACCATTTTCCTTAGTGTTCATACGATTTTCCAAATACCAACTCGCAAGTAGATCTGTCACTTAATTGGTTTAATTTTGTTGACTCATCATAATTTTCAGAACAAAAACCAAAACAAATTCAGCAATTAGTTTTGTTTAAAGTTGGTAAATTGTCAGCCTATTTTAATTGTATTTCTTCTTGACTTCCTTCTGATCAAAGTTCTGCCCAGAGTCTCTGGTTTCCTTTCTAATACTTTTTATAGAATTCATTTCCTGCCTTTAATGAAGTTTACATAAACTTTCTCTTAGCTTTCTCTCTGCTACAGTTGCGTCTATGTTGATAAGATAAACGGTTGATTCTCTATACTGCCTGGAATGCATCTTAGTTTATGTTTGACATATATATTTTCGTTCTTGGTCAGAGTTGTTCTCTCTGCATTCACGAAGTGTGCACAGTATTTCTTCTTTGCATATGTATACCACACATGGAGTTTTATTAGATTTATATTTTCTCAATTCTTGAAGCATTTGAAATATCGTAAAATACCACAAATGCTTCATCTATACTAATTAATCTGATGATTCGCTAGTTTATGGATCCAAATTACCCTGCCAATTGGATAACCTTCTTTAAAGTTGTCTATCAATTGTCTACATACCAAAAAATTGTGACTATAGTTTATGGTAATTGGTATAACACTACATGACTGTTGATGATTAGCTTACAGATTTTGAAAGTAGAAGATGTTATCTACATATTACATTTAATTATTATTATTATAACAATAGTTATACAGTTGTGAATGGAGAAGTTTTTATGTGGATTGAAAAACTATGTATTATGGGAGTGAATGTTGTTTAAATATTAGTGGTGAACCTTTCAGTATTATGTGCACTTCCTCATTAAATTATGACTGAGCTGTTACATGTAATTATGAAATAATGTAGTTATACCTTTCAATGTACATGTATGGATATAACACTACATGACTGTTGGCTTAGAGATTCTTACAGTAGATGTTATCTACATATTATCATCAGCCCTTCTGTCAACTCTAGGGTGTGCACCCTCATCTGTAGTAGTATCAATGCCAGCAATAGTCTACTTACTTATTTCTACTTAAGCTACTTATAGTACTTAAGCAGTTTAAAAAAGGAATATATAGTTAACCTCATAGATGACAAAACTAAAGAATAGGTTAAACAATTGCCAAGTTTTTTAATTTTTATGTTAAGAGGATGATAAGTGCATGCTCTTTCAAATAAATTGTGGGTTTTAAATCATTATAAAAACTGAAATTTTATGTATTCATCACAAATGTTTTAGTCATAGAAAAAGTATCTAATAATTAACATTAACAATTTAGTTATGTTGACATGAATAATAAATAATTGCTTCCGCAGCATGACACTGAAAGATTAGCTCTTGGAAAATGTAATATACATTACATACTTTTGAGAGTGGTAATTCATATTTCTTTGGATAATAAAAAAACGGAGATGAAAGAAGGTAAAACATATTAGTGAAGCTTCCAGTATTTTGCTTATTAATGAATGATATAAGGACACATGAATCAAAATTTGCTAGGTTAACATTGCTGATACACTTTGTCTTTACTTAGTGTACACATTATCTTTATATGCTCACCACATGTCACAAAAAAAGATAACTGTAAGGAATTAACATTTCCCAATCTTTTATTTTAGCTGATTGGTGGAAGGGGAGTTGGAAAACACAGATTAGCCACAGCATTGATTCAAACTAGATCCTCCTTAACAGTTGAGGTGTAAGTAACACTTTCTATTCAGTTAGCAATTCTTTTTGTTAAATATTTAACTGAAACAAATATGTTTCTAAACACAGCCAATTTGCTGGCCATAGATATGAAATTTTGTTGTGAAAAGAACAAAGCACAAGGGTTAGTAAAGTGTATAAAATGTAACGAAAAGTATGTTGAACTGAAGATATTTTATATCACAGTAATCTGTTGTAGTTTTCAGATAGCACATAAGATCTATCTAACTGTTGTGTGTCACTAGCCACTTTCAAAATGGTCTTTAAGTTAGTACAAGAACTCGGCAGCTGGCTGGACCTATGGAAATGAGAAGTCTATCCTAAGAGCTGTTTTATGTATGGTACAGGAAACATGTTTGTGTAAATGGCCATAATGACAAATTAATGAGGTTTTACTAATGTGATAAGAAAATTGTTCAAGTAAAGGATTATTTATTACATTTCTAATAATAATGAATATTAACTTCCAGTCAGAGCAAGCAACTTATTTACAGGTCGCTAAAAATCAATCTGGTAATGAGTATAGCTAATTAAGTATACTTTTCTTACTTATAAAGATTGTAATGCATTGTTTCATCAGTTTGGTATTCTTGTTAATAGTATTTTTGGCTGTAATCCCAATAAGACCTCAAAATATGGCTAGCTTTGGAGATTTAAGTTAGCATTAAATACATATGTTAAGTTATCAATGCAAAACAGTCTCGGTAATAAAAGTATGATAATAAAAATATAAAATGAAAAAGTTGTACAATTAGGTACATTAAACATGCTAACCAATACTCTTAATAGAAGAAATAATATAGTATACCTTATTTATTAAATTCACAAACACTAGTTGTTGGCAAAGCCACAGGAAGGGTGGGAAGGGCAGTTGCCCAGGGTGCAGCCAGAAAGGGGGCTTTTATTAAATAATTTATGCAGAATTATACAGACTGGAGGGCAAACAGAAAACTTACCATTTGAACTTATCATCCAAATTAAGCAAGATAACTTACTCTATTTAATATGGTATGGTACATAAGTTCCTGCCTTCACTCCTTGTTCTTCAACTACGTCGCCTCATTCTTAAGTTATAACACATAATTATTTTTATATTTTCTAGTGTTATGATATTTACCATCACACTTAGCTACATGCTTCTTCTACAAGCTATATGTTTTTAGGAAAAGGAAAAATAGGGCTCGAGATATAGCATATCCAATGTTTCGGGACATCCTAAAATTCTGCTGACAACCAAACATTACAGGAAGTATGCTTGACAGGGTAATCAGGTTTTTACTGTATCTGTCATTGCTATAAAGTAAAGTAAAAAACTGAGATTTATTGCAATTGAATGCGGAACATTGGTTTGTTTGGTAATTCACTTATGTTCTAATAGTTATCTTTAAAAGATAATTATTAACTATACTATTTTATTAAAACACTTTATTTTGATGGAATAGCAACCTGAATAACAAATTTGTTCTGCAAGGATGTGTAATGTGAAAAGGTAAGGCAAACCTTAAGTACAGTACACTATATGGAACCTCCACAGACTGACTTGCATGGGCTACAAAGAATAGGTTGGAGGGGTGCAGTTTGTGAAATTTACCCAGGGCACAAAAATGACTGGCTCTGGTTTAAGGTTTGTTGAACAACATGATATCAGTACAACTGTATACAAGCAAAACTTCTTACAATCCTCCCAGAAATGCATTACAGCCATTGAACACCTATTAAACAGCTGTAACAGTGTGATTTTGGAGGAGCATGGCATCTGAGATAAATTACAATAAAACTTCAAACTTCACTGTTTAGGCATGGAATCAACTAGCAGCACATTACCATAAATAATAAGAAACAAGAAATGAAGACCTGAATCATTCACTAAATAAGTAAATATTGATTCCATAATGTAAGTATGAAAAGTAATTCAAGGAAAACAGTATGTTAGACATACTGTTATGAACAATTATGATAATGTTTTGTTGTTACTTGTTTCAGAATTATATTACAGTTTGCAGATTAATTTTGTATTAAAATTATAACTATCATATTTTTGGGTGTATAAGACATACTTTTTTACCCCAAAATTTGATGTCAAAATCTCCTTGCGTCCTATACACTGAAGGTATGAATAATATATATGTATATATACGATATACACAAGCCATGTGTAAATATATTTAAATAGGCATGCATAGTTTAGTTCAATTGAATGTGTTATAGTAGTTTTTTCTTTTAAAAACATAACTATTTATAATGCTCCCTTAATAATAAAAAATAAATTACAGTGAAAGCAATGATGATTTTGTAGGTTTTGAACCAAACTATATAACAGTAAACCTTTTTTTTTGATTTACTGTATTTTCTTTTTTTAATGTTTTGAGCTCTTTTGTGTTTAGAACAATATATACTAATTTTTAAAGTATCAAATCGAATTTTTGTTCACTAAAAATCTTTCAAATGCGACTGTAGCTTTTTTTCCCACAAAACTTTGTCTTCAAAAGAAGGGTGCGTCTTACACCCCGGTGTGTCTTATATTCCGAAAAATATGGTTGTTTGCCTTATAAATGATTTAGGAGAGATGACACTGTATATATTTAGTGTCATTTGGTAAAATTCTGATGTAAGCTGTATGCATTAGCTTTGTGTAGTAAAACCTTATATAATCAGTTTTCAATTTTGGGTTATGGAATCCATTTTTATTAAGAGTTAGATATATATAGCACAGTAAATGAAGTTTTTGGGAGTCTAAGAGATTCTTCAGTGAGTCAATCAAAAGTCCAGTATCAGAGAAACAACTCTATCATGTAGCTTAAAAATTGGTTAGTTGGGTCTGAGTCAAGTATATTTTGGGAAAATGGAATATTTTGTGGCAAAAAAAACAAACAGTTATTCAAGTCAGCACTTGGACTGTTCATTGTTGTTTCAATTGGACCAGCCAAACAATACTTTGAGATGTGTCTAACACAACTACTCCTACTTTCACTAACTTCTGTAACTTGACATATGAAGCAGGCACAAGGAAGTCATAAAAGTAAAATTAAAACCTGTAATGTAAATGCAATAAGCCTCAAGAATGTATAGGAGTAATAATAATAGTAAGAATTAGAAAGGAAAGTTACAACAATCATAAACATGGTGAAAAAGTAATTAGGAATAATTATTGTGATTTAACTACTAATATAATGTCATGCTGTAAAGAGAACTATTATGTAGCTAGAATTAACTATACAAAATAGAAGCTTAACTCTTCCGCTACTACGTTGGTGGATTACACTGACCACATGACCTTAAAGTTTCCATACTATAACTTTTAACATGTTTTGTGTATCTTCATGAAAATTTTCAAGCTTTTTGTAAATATTACGTCTTTTGTAGAAAATAAGATCAGAATTATTGGTTAAGTAATTTTACTAAAATATTCGTCCGTGAACATATGGAGTCAATGTTGACTACTCTGCGTGCAAGCGGATTTCAATTTAAGAATAAAATGAAATTGTCAAATTTCATTTGTATAATCTTCAAAACCTAGTAAATATATATCAAATGTTCTTTTTTTCACTAAAACTTTATATTTTATCTGATATTTTCTCTACCCTAACTTTATATTTATTTGTTCAATTTGACCAAACTCTTAACCACCATTAAAATAAAGGTGAAATATAATGAGTTGTACTGAAATAAAAACCTGCCAAACCAGTAGCAATGAATCACTGCTACTGCCATTAGACTGTTTTTATGGTACCATAATACAACACTGTCAATTGCAAACAAGCACATGTGGCCGCAGTAAGCCGGGTTTCTCACAGGGTTTATTGTGATCCTGGCTTCGAGAACACAGTGGGAGAGGATTTATCAGGCTGTTTACATTACATTGGTTACAAGGAGAATTGTCTAAAGTAATAAAAATGTGAGAAAATGTTTATGATATGGTTCTGTACAAAGTTCAGGCCGATCCAGTAAACTTGTTACCTGGATGTTAGTTATTCTTCGGGGATGGTTGGAATTTAGTGGTATAGGTGTATAAAGTGTGTTTGTGTTTATGAACATGTGCGTGTGTGTATATATATATATATATATATATATATATATATTATTTTTATTATTATTATTATTTACTCTTAAATGCTTAAATTTCAGTTATTTTTCTTAAAGCAGAACAACAAATATAAAATATAAAGAAAAACAATGATTTCTAGTACTTACAATATTACAGAATTGATTTAAACTCGCTCGTATTTGCTAAGCCTTGCAGTTAGCTTCATTTATTATTTCAAGTGGAGGAAGAAGACAAATTACTTTTTGTAGACTTCAAAAATGCATTTTAGAAATACAAAAAAATTTTATTACTCTACTTGTACAGATAAAATTACTATATGTTATCTGGCTTTCTAACTAAGATTTATATGGGTTAAAAAATCTCATTTCTGTTCAGAGCAAAGACTTTGTCAACAGACTTTAATATTTCCAGTAAAACTTTGGCTTCTCCTTTCAAGTCAATTTCAAGTGACTGTGAGATTTACATAGTTTGGAATGTGTTCTTTCTATTGATTATAAACATGTACTTAAGAGAACTAGGCATGAGTAGACAAGAGGTCTCAAAAGAATGGAGTAGTGGGAGTGGTTACTCTGGTAGGTTTACAAAATATATTGATATCTCAGCAAATCAAAATGATGAGAGGTTCTTATTTTCTATTCTAGCTTATCAGCATCAGAAATTTGAGTTTCTAATTCATTATCCACTATGGATATGGTATGGTAGGCGTAGTACAATTATAAACTGACCAATAAGACAAGAGGACATGCAATGTGACAAAAAAATGTATTTAGTTTTTTTAATATTTTCTTTCAAATTTAGAAGGTAAAACATATATAATACTGAAATTTGAATTATTAAATACTTTTTAATGCCAATTTTATTGACATGCATTGATAATGCAGTTGTTTAATTAATTTTCAAAATACCTTTTTAAAACATGGTGACATCTTTTTTTTACCTGTTCATAG